TGCTGTTTTCCTCTCTCAAAAATATAGAATATTAATAATACCTCATATAATAAAAGAACATAATGAATGAAAATAAAAATTGAGGAATAAAAATGAGTACGTATATAAATGGGTGAAACGAAACTTGGGTTTGAAATAGGTCTGTGAGAAGTTACTTTCATTTTTCTAATAAGTAATACTCTCATTAAATGAAGAATTCACACAATATTTAGAAAGAAAATACAATTATACAAGACCATTAATTAAATAACTACCTTTTACAATTTAATACGCCTTTTTGTAATAGACGCATTTTAGAAAGGCCGTGGTTACAATATTGCAAGTGTTGTGATTAGAAATTTTAGAAATTCCGTGGTTACAATATTGCAAGTGTTGTGATTATGCCTTGCAATTACAAGCATTAATAGTCATACAATAAGCTTCCACAAAAAGTCTTCTGTTTCTCATTAAATAATCAAGTGAAGCACATTTAGAGCTATAAACCTCCACACGGTCCTTGCCTGGCCTTGCTAGGCTTCAATCTCTCCTGCATATCATGGTTATTTATGGTTTACAGGAAAGCAAACATTCTTACCTTTAATCCTTGAGAATTAACACTGGATTTACATATTCCCAAATAGCTCTGTCAACCACATCAACTCTCGGTTTGCATGTGGTTTTCTTGTCACTGAATTATAATCTGTAGACAAGGCCAAAGTTTTAAGGTGTATTTTGTGATTTCGCTTTACACAAAATGCTTAACAAAATTCCTAGTATTCAATACAAATAAATCTTGACAAATTTTAAGCCATTATTATAATTGTCTCAGTATATCAATGCTTTCTAGTGACTGCGTAAGGAGAAAAGTAATAGAAAAAAGTGACCAAAGTATGTTATTATAAAAAAAATCTATTTATCATTAATTCATTACAATTTATTTGTTTCCAGTAATATGAAGTCTTTGAAGTTAAGATCCTAAGCTTTGTCCCAGGGTAAATCTTTCAGAATTATATAATTTGGCTATCAGGTGGTTTTAGTCATAATTATATATATATGATTTCAAAAACGTTCATGGAAAATGGAATTAAAATATGAGTTTATTTTTGTGCCAAAAAAATTAAACTCCAGGCATAGTTTTTATTTGTTTGTTTGTTTCTGTTTCTGTTTTTTCTTTTTTGGGATGGCCACGCCACAATCCCTTCTCCTCCGTTCTCCTCTTTGGGAACTTGGGCATGTACACACATGTGCCCATTGTTAGTTTAAGCCACCGGGTCTGGGACTTGAACCGGGGTCGACTAAATGGGAGTCCAATGACACAGCCATTACGCCAACTGCTGGTCCCCAGGCATAGTTTCTTCATGATACATATTTTCCATGAACTTTTGGAAGACCCACCCTCCCCTCTCCACCTCATACAATAAGGGTGAAAACTTAGGGAGATAGTATGGTTTTTTTTAATCCAAATTTGACATGTTTTCTGTCTTATTTAAAATTAGTTACAGAGAGACCAACAGATGGCATAATGGTTATGTTGCTGGAGTCCTACATAGTCAACCATGGTTCAATTCCCAGACCTGGCAGCTTAACTCACGCTCACACCAGGTGCATATGTGTGTGTGCCCAAAATCCTGAGAAGAGAATGGAGGGGAAGGGACTGCAGCATGGCCATTCCCCCTGGGAAGTGATTTCTCACTTGTAGCCTCTCTGTCTTGTCTTTCTGACAAGTATACGTGCCCTATAGCCAAAATCTCTCTATAAAAATAAATAAATAAATAAAATAAAGCTAACTACAGAAAGAATAAAAATTTTATGTAATATGTAAGCTAAGCTTTTCAGTCCTTATGTAAATTTAATTTCTTTCTGATTCCTTTCTAATAATGGGAAATTTATATGCCTTGGCAAATAGACTATTGGAATGTCTCATTGACATTTAATGAGTTCTAATATGGTCACACTGTGCACTGCTACAATAATTTCTGACTCTACATGGTACTAATTGAATCCCTGCCAAAACACATTATGCCATTTATGCTGTTTGTTGTTTTAAAATGTTAAATTTGCCAATTATCTCCTAAAATTTGCTCCAGAGTTTGCTTCTGTTTACAGTCATTAAACGTACTTTAGCATTTTAACTTTTCAGTAAATGAGAAGGTTCTGCTTTTGCTACAAAATTTGCCAATTACAAATGTCTTAGAAAAGTTTAAAAAAGCTAAAATCCTGAGTATAAATGAATACACTTACAATTTATTTTCTTGTTCTAGGAAAAATAACTTCTAAGAAACTGTCGGAATTATGCTACGATTCTGAGTAGACAAACATATGGAGAAGAGAATTGAGGGACTAAGGTAGGAAAGAATTCTAAGTATTTATGAATAGGTATCTTCCAATATCTTTTGAGAATATCTTTTTTTTCTTGTTATTTTGACATAATACTAATACAAATATATTTTCTGAAGAAGCAACATAATGTGAGTACTGAAGTCATACTGCCTGGGATGGACTCCTATCTTCACTACTTCTTATACATACAATGACAACTCTGTTCAAAGCACATTTTGTTCTGGCCCAGCCACGGTAGTGCACACTGCTCAGATTCTGTTCTCTGTAGGCTGGCACAACATAGGTGTCCTGGGTTAAATTACCAATCCAACCAAAATGCTGGAAAGAGGGTAAATGCCTACAAACCCAACAATTAGAAGGCTGAGGCAAGAAAATCACAAACCCAATGATGGTCTGGGAAACATCATAAGAAAGAGCTAGACATGGTGGTATGCTTACAGTCCCAGCTGGGAGGTTAAGGAAGAAGGCAACGCTCTTTATTTAAAAAAATAAGGAGAAAAAAAGAGTTTTTCTCATTAGGATTTTGTTTCTATATGAGAAGAAATTAAATTATAAATATCAGGATGTAAATTTTGTATGAAACATATATGTATTCTTGCTACTGCCAAACTAAGTCTGGCAGCTTCTTCTCATGGTTGGTAAAATGAGAGGGAGAGGATGGAGAAGAAGAGAGATTATTCTGTAACCAGTTATTAGGGAGATAGTCAGCAAATACTATCAAACTGTATTGAAAAGTTCAACATGTCCTCGATATTTATAATACAGGCACATGCAAATCATTCCTCACTAAAATCAGAGTCAATCATTTTCTCTAAAATGATTATCCTAATGCCTTCAAGTACCTATTCCTGGTTTCTCATCTGACCATACCTCAAATAGATCTCCCCGTGACTCACCATTTCATCAGATTGTTCTCGTTAAGAGTCTTTCTTAATTTCAAAATGGCTGCAGTTCTCCTAACCTTTAGATGTCTTGCTACATTCTTAGACATGGAGACTGTACATACATTAATCTCTTTCACTGTTATTCGGCCAGCTGACACCAAGTAGACACAACTAGTAGCTTCATCCTTTTTGCTATACTCAAAAATATTAGTCATACTCCCTAATTCTATAGTTTTAAACAGTAAAGCTGTAACTGTTGACTCCCAGATCTTTCAATTAATATTTGAATTCATGTCTCTCTATATGGTAAGACCTATATTTTTGAAAGTAAAGACAATAACTGTCAAGAATATTGTATTCTTACATTCCTGCAGTCAGAATAAGAACTCTCTCCATTAGGAAAATCTTACCAGAGAACACTGCTATAAAATTATGGCAAAATGGTTTTCACCATCCTCACTTCAGTTCCATCCCTATTCCTAAGATAGCTCTCCTTAAAACTCTAACACATATTCTGGGACCAACAGATGGCATAATGTACTGGATTCCCACATAGTCGACCACAGTTCAAGTCTCAGACCCAAAGACTTAAAATTCACACCAGGCATGTGTGCATGCTTGTCCAAAATCCCAGGAGGAGAATAAAAGAGAAGGGATTGTGGCATGGTCATCTCCCCTGGGGGCTTATATCTGTCTCTCTGGCTACCACACGGGCCCTATAGCAAAAATTTCTTCTCTCCCCCCACCCCCCAAAAAAGAAATCTAACACATATTCTAAAGATTAAGTAAATCTCCCTATTATTTTAGTGCCTACCTGTTTTGTTTTGTCTGTTCATTGCAATATTTTTTTTAAAACAGCATTAAGTCATTTGGAGAGGACTGCTTATTTCCCAAACCCGGCTATTTACATTTATACTAAAGTTTAGAGGGCAATCTTCTGTCATCATACAAGAGCTTGTGTTATATATTCATCTCAGAATCCCCAGAATTTAGTTTAGTTCCTGGCATATAGAACAGGCTTAAATCTGGGTTAAATTGAATAGAAGTGGCTAAGTGTCCTGGTTTAATCCTGTTGGATCATACAACAGATTACAGAAATACCTCCTTCATGAATGAGTCTTTCCAACTAGACGCCAAGTTTCTCAAGTATAGAAATTTTTGTCTTTTTCATCAACCCTACCATGAGCCTTGGTATATAGTTTTAGTTCTTGATAACTCTTTTATCTGTGGAAATTTATCAGAAGTCAGTACTGAAAAACAAACTGAAGAAAAACATCTTAAGAATGTAAAACGATACAACAGGATTGGGTTGCTATAAAGGCGAAGCATACTAATAAAGATAAAACCGAGTTAAGAATTTAGCTTTAAAGAAAAAAATAAAATAAAAAGGAATCCAGCTTCTTGAGTGCCAATGAAACAGTCTAGCTTGTAGGTTGCCATAGCAACTTCAGAGCTGTCCATCACAGCACCGCACACCACCGGGCTCCTTCCTACCCCCAGTCCTGCCCTCAGCTCTATCCTCTCCCCGTCTACCCCACATCTCTACTTCCGCCCCAACCTGTCAGCTGGGTTAGAGAGTCCTACGCTCTTTGCCTACCACCATGGTGCCAAACTAAAAGTATGACAGAAAATACGGTAAATTAGAAAATTATTCTTTTCCTACGACCCATACTTCCTCCTTAAAAATATAAATGCAGAAGCAGTACCTATTTGTAATTTGGGGGTTATGCCTAGCACGAGAATCTGGAGTCGATTTTCAGGCAATGCTTTAGACAACAGCAACTTTGGAGGCCCCCAGCGTACCGAGGCAGACGTGGCCCAGAGCAGGGCGGGGCGTCCCCGGCTCGGCGGAGGAAGTGGGGTTGCTCGCGGAGTTGGCGTGTGGGTTCTGTTCTGACCGGCTCCACCATGTAAGTGTTTGCTCACCCGCAGCCCCAGACCTCGGTCTCGCTGCCCGACCTTAACTCGCTCCCGTTGTCTTTCTCAGGTCGAAGGTTTCCTTTAAGATCACGCTGACGTCGGACCCACGGCTGCCGTACAAAGTGTGAGTAGCCCGGCCGCGGTGGGCCTCTTGGGGCTGGGAAGGACCGGGCTGGGCTGGGAGTGATCTTAGCCTTCGGACGACACCTACCCCGCGCAGCCTGCCTCCTTGACTTCCACACCCATGCCGCGTTCTGCCTGCAGTCCCAGAGGCGAGGTCCCGAGCTCCCTTCCTGGCCTGTCCTCTTGGCCTGCAAGGAGGGTGCGCGGTGTGAGGACAGGAGCCGAGGAGAATTTTGGCAACGTTTCTGCACATCCTTGACCTCCCCTCAGACATATTCATGGTTTGGTGGGTGGGTGGAGCGAAAGGGTCTGTGGACCACTGTCTGGTAATTTGCTGGGATTCTTAAACAGTCCGACTGCTGCTGGGTAGAATGGCCTTCAACCCTCGGACCAGCTGTTAGAGAAAGTTAGGGAAGACATACCAGTCTAGACTGATTACTTGAATGCTTGTTACTGTCAGGTTTCTGATTTTTGGTGTGTGTGAGTGACAGCAATCAGGCCTCACAAAGTAATGAGCCTCAGATCACACACTTTGTGTACTGGGATTTAATAAAAAGCTTTAGCAACTGGACTGGTCTGAGATATATTTCATGTTGGGTAATTCTCTCTACAAGGTAAATGGTGTATAGCAATTGAATGTATAAAATAGTAATAATAAGTTAATTAAAAGTATATAACTAAATACAGAGCTTTAGTAGGAATGGGAGATGTCGAAATGGCAGTTTGTCCATGTGGGGCCTTTCTATAGCTTTTGCAGTTGAATGATGGGTTAACATGAGTTTAACCATATTCTGTCTGGACCTGTGATTTTATGCAAACACTCTCAAGGTCATTGCAACTGGAAATTGCATGAAATTATCATAGTGGGAAAAGAGCTACAGTGGAATTTTGTGCATAATTAATATAATTTGTACCATTTCCTACCTAACTGAACAGATAATAGCTGCCATCAGTTCTAATGACTTACCCATCCTCCATCCATGCAAGCTTCAAGCTTTTGTTCCCTTGATCTTTTCATTGCTACAGTGTCTTCATCACACCTTCTTTCTTCTTTTTTGAGAGGTTTGTGCTATAGGAAGCATGCGCTCGCCAGAGAGAGACAGAGACAAAGCGAGAAATCACCCCCCAGGGGGGATTGCCACATTGCAATCCCTTCTTCTCTGTTCTCCTCTCGGGATCTTGGGCACGCATGCCCAGCTTGTTTAAGCCTCTGGGTCCAGGACTCGAACCGCGGTCAAACACATGGGAGTCCAGGGACATAGCCATTACGCTAACTGCTGATCCCCATTACACCTTATTTCAAATAATGTTCACAGCCTAGAACTTTAAGATCTTCAATAATTGCTCCTTTCTAAATTGTCCCTTTCAAGCACTGTCTTGTGAATAACTACATTCTCTCCTTCCATCTGATTCACTTTAGTATGTCTTCTGCAATGTTTTCTATATTAATCACACTGCATTTTACTCTGTATATTCTTACCCATGCCTTACCCCATTCACATTCACTTTCCCATTATACAGCTTTGAGTTCATCGTCTATCTTTAATTCATTCTCTTGAAGACTCTCAACTTTGATTCTTTTTCACCCGCCTCCTCCCAGCATATTTTGCTTGGTGAATACCACTCAGATCCTGACCATTTGTGTTTTCTGTACATAGCTTGATATCACTGGAGAAAATAACACAACCAGCTGATAGCTGATTGGGTTTTTGTTTTTTTTTTGGAGAGGTTTTTTGCTATAGGGCGCGTGCGCTCACCAGACAGACAGAGAGAGACAGAGAGATAGAAAGCGAGAAATCACCCCCCAGGGGGGATGGCCACGCCGCAATCCGTTCTCCTCTCGGGATCTTGGGCACGCACGCACACGCGCCTGGTGTGAGTTTTAAACCACCAGGTCCGGGACTTGAACCGCGGTCGACTACGTGTGAGTCCAGAAACATAGCCATTACGCTAACTGCTAGTCCCCCATGGTTTTGTAAAATTTATGATTATATTCAGGAGTACCTATCATTCTGCTACTTTACCAGGTGCTTATTTTTCTCCTGATTGTATGAAAAGATTTCTTTTTTAAGAGAGATTTTTGCTATATGGTGTGTATGCTTGCCAGAGAGACAGAAAGGGAGAAATTATCCCCCGGGGGTGGATAGCCATGCTACAATCCCTTCTCCGTTCTCCTCTTATGATGTTGGGCATGTACACACACGCACCGGGCATGATTTTCAAGCCACTGGGTCTGGGACTCGAACAATAGTTGACTAGGTGGAAGTTCAGTGACATAACCATTACGCCAACTGCTGGTCTCAAGAAAGGATTTTTTAAAAATTTATTTTCAAACTTTCCATAACTCCTTTGCCTCTTACCCTCACGCCATCAGAGTAGAGTGTTCTCATCTTGCCTTCCCCATCACTGTAGACCTACATCTGTAAGTCCATAATTTTAGTCCCCAATCCTGTAACAGTGGAAAGCATGGTTTTCTTCCTATGAAAAGCCAGTTGTTCACTTGGGTTCTGGATCCCATCTATTTTAGTTTTCTCAAAGTTCGAGTAGAGGAGTCTAGAGCCCCCTTTCTCCTTTTCATTGGTTTCTTCTATGCTAGATTATTCTCATCAACATGTAAATATGCTCTACAAAGATCATAAAGAGGAAGGAGTGAGAAGAACAACACTGGAGGACATCATCAATTAGTTTTTCTGAAACAGCAATATGACATCTAGTTACATGGCAAGGACATTTTCAAGTATCTAATGTGAAAGGGAATTGAAACCTGAAAACCTTCAAAGTTCTTTCGAGGCAGAGTTTTAGAAAATGAATCCTAGATTTTGAACTATAAATGTACTCCAGAAATACTTGCAAGATACCGTTTGCTTTGTAAATAACCACATTGTCAATTTATTAAGTATTTTTTAAAACAAATGGCTGTTTTTTAGATTTTTGTTTTTATTTACTGTCCCCACTTGAAGGAAAAAAGAATAAAAAGAGAAAAATAAAAGATACTCATTTTCACCCTCTCACAGTATTTCAGAGGAGTGAAATGGAGAAAGCCAAGAAAGCTATTCACACTTCTCTTACTGAACGTCAATAATATGCTCTGACTGATAGAGTGATTCTTATATTCAGAGATCTGCAGTCTAAGGGAGGAAACTGACATGAAAATGTTGCATAACGTAGTTGGTATTAAAACATTAAAGAATAACATAGTAATTAAAAATCAAAGAAGTTTCAAAAAATAAAAAAATGTTAGCTTGCCAGTCTCTGCCTGGCTTTGAAAAATAGTAATTAAAAATCAAAGAAGTTTAAAAAAAAAATGTTAGCTTGCCAGTCTCTTTTCCCAGCTTTGAAAAAAGTTATCTGGTTTTTTTGTGTGTGTTTTTCTTTTTTTTTGGCTTGTTGTTAATTGTTATTTTATCTTGGGAATTTGTATATGTATTTTTTTATTTCTTTTTAAACCTCTTACTGTATCTTTAAGTGTTTTCTTCGTGTATAATGTCCCTTTCTTCTTTGAATTTTAAACTGGAAAATTCATACAAATTGACCTTGGTATTAAATAATGTAAAATAAAATATTTATAAATGAATTTTAATTTCCCATCGTACATGTCAAGTAACAAAATCACATATCCTTCTCCAAAATATTATTTCAGATTGTACTAAGTCTTTTTTCGAATGATGATGTAAACGGTAGAAAAACTACTTATAATATTAGACTTATTCATTTTTATCTATTTGTCTACTCTTTTAGACATGATTATTAAGTGTGTACACTTAATAAGGAGGTCTCATCAAAAGTTTTCTGATACAGTCATAATTTCCTACTTCTTGGATGGTTCAAGTCTTGGACCCTGTGGCTTGAAAAACAATGCAAGACATATACCCAAAATCCTAAAAGGAGAAATGAAGAAGATATTGGGCATGCTCATCTCCTGTTGGGAGATGCTTTCTCATTTTCTCTGTCTCTTTCCAGCAAGCACACATGCCTTCTAGAAAATTAAAAAGTATATATATAGGCACTACTCCCTTGACTGTGGAATTCAGTTCCTATAACTAGGTCATTAAGTAAATTGGTCAAAAGTGAGGAGCTTAAAGGTAGATTATCTTGTGCTTTGTCCTGACATCATAGGGTATGTATCTTTCAATAGGTATCATGCAACAGTACACTAGAATAATGTGATCCTGACCATATAAGAAGCACATGTTAGATAAACACCAGAAAGCAATAAGATCCACCACAAAAAAATAATTTATATCCAGAGTAATCATTTTTAATTATTCTGAAAACCACCATGGGTATATAAAAAGTATAAATTTGTAAGTGGAATATAAATTTCACTTGCATGATTGTGAATGCTTTATGTAGGAAATGTTAACTGACAGAGAATGTGACAAAGACTGAGAAAGGGGATCCTTGAGACTCACACAGACTGAGAAAGGGGATTACTCATCTGGAGACCTGGTCATAGTTCAAGTAATTGTTAAACAGGTACATTATTAAGTGAGGAGAGGAGTGGCTGTATACATGCATCTGTAACTTTAGAGCTTAATTTTCAAGTAGAGTTATAGGCACCATACCATCTCAGCTCTAAAGTATTTGCTTTTCTTCTTTTTTTTGTGTTAGTGAATACAGAGGACTTCAAAAAGTTTGTAGAAAAATGGAATTAATATTAGTTTATTTAGTATTAGTTTATTTTGGTGCAAAAGAATGGACATCTATGTATAATAATTCATAATACACGTTTTCTGTGAACTCTTTGAAGACTTCTCCCCATATATGTAGTCAAAATAGCCAACTTTGAAACTCAGAAGACAGTTTTTCCAGGTCTGCTACAATAGTGGAAATAAGGAACAAAGTGGCTTTAAAAAATAATCAACTTAAAATTTTTCTTACAGACTTAGTGTTCCTGAAAGTACACCTTTCACAGCAGTCTTAAAGTTTGCAGCAGAAGAGGTAAGTATGAGATTTAGAAAACTTATGAAATGCAATTTGGCAATGTGTTTCAGAATTCTAAAATTTGCCTGTACTTTGACCCAGCATTCCCATGAAGGTTTGTTATGAGGTGTAGGCCTTTGAAAACTTAGAAATACAATGAAAGTTAAGATTTACTTTCAGGTACAAAGAAAGTGAGTTGAACAAACTGACACATCTGTTTTCATGCAACCACTGAGACTTTTTAAACAAGCATAAAGATACAGTATTAAATCCTGTGGCAGTGGAGTGCACTATTAGAGTCAATTCCACTTGGGGACGCGAACCGCGGTCGACTACGTGGGAGTCCAGCGTGATAGAAATTACACTAACTGCTGGTTCCCACCACTGAGACTTTTTAAACAAGCATAAAGATACAGTATTAAATCCTGTGGCAGTGAAGTGCACTATTAGAGTCAATTCCACTTGGAAAGGTTTCAGATTCCAATACAGAGACCTTCCTGAGTACCCCAGGTGGGGATTTGCCCACAGTTACGGGCTGGCTGAAGGCTGGGAGTGGATCGTAATGTAAAGACCCTGTTAGAGGTGCCATCTCTCTCTCTTTCTCTCTTTCTCTGTGTCTCAATCATAGAAGAAATAAAGTTAACAAATGTCCATAATATAGTGTTAAATGTTGAAGCTGAATATGGGCATATCCTTGATTATTATACACTGTATGCATGCCTTAAAAAACCATATTGTAGCCCACAAAGATAAACATTGACTATATGTTAGCCAGAAATCATAATTTTACAAAATGTAAAAATAGAAATAAAAATAAGTCATAACTGTAAAATTAAGTGTAGTATGTGCTGAACTGCTATAATAATTATATAATTATTATAATAAGTTCCTATTGCTGTTTTGAGGAACTCAGGTCTTGTAAGGATACATTTAAAATACCATGTGACACTGATCATCTCAATGTGAGCAGTTTGTCTCTTCAGTAAATTGCATATTGCAATTAAAAATGATCTCCTGTGGTTCTTGCATATTTTTTATCATATTTTCATAACCTTGAATAACAACATGGGATCCATATGAAGTACCATTAGTAAGGATAAAAGTGCTCTCAAGAAGCAGGGAAAAGTAATGACGTTCTTACAAGAAGTTAAAAAGTTGGATATGTACCATAGATTGAGGTCTGTAACTGGTTGTCCACCATTTCCAGGTAAATGAATCTCATGTAAAAACTAAAAGAAAATTTATGAAGCACAATCCTGTAGACTAGTATGACTTGAAAAAAAAAGCAAAGTCATTTTAGAAAAGTTAAAGCAGAAGAAAGATAAAAAACCTAAAGCCAGATAGTTACTTTTGTTTTTTTTTTTTTTAGTAGTCCCAACAAAGGATGGTTTGATCATTTTAGAAAGAAGTTTGAGCTTAAGATAACAGGAGAAACAGCTTCTGCCCCGAGAGGTAGAATATGAAGGGTTTCAAGTTATGTGTTTTGGGGAATTTGAGAGTTAAAGACCCACACCAGAGGAATTCATAGAAGACAGCTTGATGGAGTTAAATGTTTCTGACCTAATGCCAAACAATGAGGAAGATCTAGGAGAAGCAGTGCTAGAAACCAAATTCATATTAGACAGACAGAAGTGTTCTGATAATGTGTTACTGTTTTTGACTGCTTTTATGATATGGATCCTTATATGATGTAGGCACTGCCAAATTCACATTAGACAGACAGACAGAAGTGTTCTGATAATGTGTTACTGTTTTTGACTGCTTTTATGATATGGATCCTTATATGATGTAGGCACTGAAACTGAAACAAACAGTGGAAGAACGATTGATACCATATAAAAGATTGTTAGAGAAATGAAGAAAAACAAATTTCAGTGTATTCCTGTAAGGTTACAGCACATATGCTTACCTCTTCTGTCTTCCCTTCTACCTCCTTTGCCTCCACTATCCCTGAGACAGCAAGACCAACGCCTCCCCTTTCTCCTCCTCAGTATACTCAATGTGAAAATGAAAATAGTCTAGACGATCCTTTTCCACTTAATGAATAGTAAATAATCATCATGCCATATGGTTAATAAACTTACTTATGTAGTATGTTAGTGGTCACAAAAAAGTATATTAGCTGTAAAAGAACTGTATGGGATGTTTTTGTGTCATCAATATCATCAGCTAAGTTTTCATGGTATAGGCTATCATGTGTAAGACTTGCATGGGAGTGGATAGTCTATCCTTACATAGGCATGAGTGAGTAATATTTAATATAAAATTAATAATATACGGGACCAGCAGTTAGCATAATAGCTATGTCCCTGAATTCCCATGTAGTCGACCGCTGTTCAAGTCCTGGACCCGGTGGCTTAAACTCACGCCAGGCGCTTGTGTGTGCATGCCCAAGATCCTGAGAGGAGAATGGAAGAGAAGGGATTGCGGCCTGGCCATCCCCCCTGGAATGGCCATGGGGGATGGCCAGGAGAGAGTTAGGAGGATGGTACCTCTAACCCTAGTGTTGTTCAAAGGCCAATAGTTTTAGAGTACTGAGTTGTTCGTTAAAGATAAAACAGATTACTTTCTTTAATGGTGTCACTTATTTTAAAAGATAAATTACATTTGGGGGTCATAGAATTGATTGTATGTACCCTATATTTCTTAATCTTTTACTATTACGTGTGTGTGTGTGTATATAAAATACACATTCACATTTTTCTTTTGTCCTTTTTAGTTTAAAGTTCCTGCAGCAACGAGTGCAATTATTACCAATGGTAAGAAATAATTTTAAAGCTATTTATTACTTCAGAACTATAGAAATTATTCAAAAGGAAATGAATTATTAAAATTGACTTAAATACAAAAAGTTCCAAGTATGTACCAACATAAATGATATACTTAATGGTAAACACTGAGTCAGTACTGTTGTTCATAATTGACTTTTTTTTTAGTTTCTTTGTGCTTTTGATATAATATTAGCACTTTATAATATCTGTTCCCTTATCACTTTATGCTAATTTTAACTAAATAATAAGTTTTATTTAGCAGGTGTTTAAAAAAATAAGTACAGTTGTATGGTTTAGAAAATAGAAAGTTAAGCAGAGGTGTACCTTTGCTATACCTTGCTTTTCTTTTCCTGATAAGAAATCATTCCGCATCAGCTTGCTGTAATGAAGATTTTGTCATGGTTTATTTTAAAAATTAATTGAAAACAATGGAACTAGGCTTATGAGAAAATAGCAGAATTATAAAATGAAGATTAAAGATTCTCGGGAGAGCTTCACTGTCTCCCATGAATGGATGGTGGTAAGTAATCCATGTATAGTTAGTATAGACTAAGAAGTAAGTTTAATGTGCAGTAGCATGCTGTAACGTAAATACAGCAGAATACCTCAGTTCAGAAATATTACATGCCGTCAGGTTGAAGCGTTTCTCTCTTGAGAACATTCCTATTTTCTGGAAAGTTTTAGGTTCACAAATTAACTCTTAGGAAAGTGTCAGTAGACTTTGAATTAGATGACTTTTTGAACTATCCCAACCCTCAAGATTTTACATCAGAGCAATATGGAAATGGTTAATGTTATATCTAAGGTGCTTTTAACTTTTTAGAGGAAACGACAGTAACGTGAGAAAATAGAATTAACACCTGTCTTCCATAGAACTTTCACTATCATTGTTTTGATAGACATTCTTTTCTAGCCTAGCAGTGTATATAAGTGAAAAATAAGAGCAGATTTCAACAGATAACTTATCTGATCAATTGATACTTGTGGGATTTAAGTCAGCTTTTGCCTGTATACACAACAGCTCTTGTATTTTGCAAGTCTGTCCTTGTTTCTATAAAACCATTTTAATTTTAGAAATAATTTACGTGATTTTACAACTTCTTTTTAGATGGAATAGGAATAAATCCTGCACAGACTGCTGGTGAGTATTTGTTTAAAAACTTAGGGAGGTATGCATGGGGCTATGTATTTCAATTGATACTGAATACTGAATATTTAATTAATTCTAATTAGACTTGATAGTCTACATGACAGCATGTAATATTTTTGAACTGAGATATTCTGCCGTATTTAAGTTACAGCATGCTACTGCACATTAGACCTACCTCTTCTTAGTCTATACTAACTGTATATGGAATACTTATAGTGACATTGATGTCCTAATAACCAGGTGGGGGAAAAATAGTCTCATACTTTATTAAAGTAGTCTTAAACTTTTTAAAAGTAATTTATTTTTTAACGTATGCTTTGAGTTTATATTCTAATTCTGTGTTTTGAAAATAAGCTTCTAAAGTACTTCTGTATTGGGGACAGCAGGTAGTGTGGTGGTTAAGGTGCAGGACTCTCGTGTGGATGGATGACTGTGGTTTGAGTCCTGGATCTGACAGCTTACTTTTTCACTTTCCTTCCCTTGCTCTCTCTTGCTCGCTCTCTTTCTTATGAGCGCACATGCCCAATAGCAAGGTAATAATGAAATGAAATAATTTTTTTTTAAAATAAAATAAGGATCTTCTGTATTAAGAACAAATTTCTATTGTCCTCACAGACTTTTGGTTGAAGTGTTGACATTTGGAAAATGAAGAGTGTTTTTAAATTACATGCATAAATAATAATAATTATTATTATTTTTTTAATTACCACAGGGTAAGTGTGCTTGCTAGAGAACGCATCTCCCATTGGAGGGTAACCATGCCACAATCCCTCCTCCCCATTTCTCCACATTGTTGGGATTTGAAACACCTGCACACAAACACCAGTCATGTTTTTCAAGCTGCTAGACCTGGGATTAAAACTTTGGTCCTCTAAGTGGGATCTGCCTTCCTTAACCACTAGGCTGTGGGGCTGGCCCCATCAATAATTTTAAGTGTATAATTTTACTGAGTCAGAAGTTTATTTTTTTCCAAGGCATAAGGCACTTAATTGCATAGATGCCTTTAAACTTAGTAGCTTAAGGTTTTATTTTTTCATGATCTAGAAATTGTCATGGTTTATATTAATTTGAATTACTACATATGTCACCTTTTGCATTGTTTTTCTAAAAATTGAGCATGCATATTTTTGGCCATAAAGAAAATCTCAGCACACAGTTGACCCTATAAGTCAGGATATCGTAAGTTCTTGTCGTTTGTGATAATTTAGATTTATGAATTTGTTCAGTCCTTAGGTATTTTATTTTATACTAAAGTAAGTGTTCATGATTAAATTAATTCATATTGTTACTTAGTGTATTCATTAGGGTTTTTATGGCTAGTATTTTTATTTAACATTTTAAAATATTTATTGGATTATGAAGATATGAGAAATAGGAAGAAGATTTTAAAAGCTTAGAATTGGTTCTGATGCTCTTGAGGCCTTGTAATCTTTCTTACAAAATTATTTATTTATTTATTTATTTATTGTTGAGGTTGTAGACGTACAATGTTAATTCCATGATTAATGAGCTAAGATTTCATGGGTTTTTTTGGGGGGGGAGAGAGGGAAAGTGAGAAAGCAAGCTGCCAGGTCTGGGACTCCAAACATGGTCGACCATGTGGGAGTCCGGCACCCTTAACCACCATGCCACCTGCTGGCCCCTGTACCTACTTTTTACAGCATTGTTTATTGTATATAATGTTGGAATATCAAAATAATTTGTCATTTTTTAGATATCTAATTTTATATTTTCTTTGTTTGTATAGGAAATGTTTTCCTAAAGCATGGTTCAGAACTGCGAATTATTCCTAGAGATCGTGTTGGGAATTGTTGATATCTACTACTGGAACATACATTTACTTTTCAAAATAAATATTGGTATTTTGTTGTTATTGTTGTAAAATTGAAAGCAGGCATTTACCATACTGTGGAAACATCATGGTTCAGTGAAATAATGAAAGGTGACTGTTTTGTCCATTCTTTTTATTCACACTCTTCATGTGAAGAGGGAATGCTTATGAATGGCGTACCACCACAGAAGATCACACAGCCTTTGATTGCTACCTCACAATAAACACAAACAGGTAGTTCGTTTGCGGTAAATGGATTATCAAATGTGTTATAACTGGACGATGCTTCTGATCATTCTTTCTGAGAATTTGAACAATTAAAATCTAATCTTACATATTTGTTTTTGACTTAAAAGTCTAAAAGAATTATGGATGACAGTTTTCTTGTCAAATAGTATCTTACTTGCAGACTCTTGATTAGTTTGACTCTCAAGTACTTGGTTCATGATGAACTCAGTAGACATACCAATGGAGAGTTAACTATCCTAATTTTATCACTAAAGGATTTTTTAAGTTTCAAACTTACATGTCAGTTTATAAAGTTGTAATTTATTATCAAAGAACCAAAAATTGAATTTTTCGGTCTACCCCTTATGTGTATAAGTTGATATCCCACACCAAGTAATTTTAAGTGATCTAACAGAATCCAGTGCTTGTAAATGCTAGGAATTCGCAGTACAAGCATCCTTTGCTGAGTTATGCATTCCATTATCAATCTCTTTCAATATAATTTTTGAAACTGAAATCCTCAGAAAAGTTATTGTCTTTATGACAATCATAATTTTAAATAACATTCAAGAAAGAGTATTGCAGAGATCTGAAGTTTACAATAAGATTAGAAAAATGCTGATCAGAAATGCTGATGAATTGTACTTATTGAAGATCCAACTTTTAAGAAAGTGCTAAGCTTAGTAATTAGAATGAATAAAAGGCCAGGAAAGGGAAGATGAGTAAGCCCAGGTGCCCAGGCTTTTGGTTAGGAGGAAAGCAGCAAAGGACGGTAATGGAGCAGACAGGAAGCTGTAGCCGAGTGTCCCAGAAAAAGCCAACTAGATAAGAGAAAACTGCAGAGGGTAAGTTCGGGAGAGCTGAAAGTGAAAACAAAATATGTGACATAGTCATAGTAACAGAAGGCAGTTGCAGAAAGCAAAGTATAGGCCTTGTCAATATACAGATTTTAAAATATCCCTGTGAGAATCCAAAGAGTGACATGCCTAAGGAAAGATTATATTTGCTCTTCTAGAAGAAATCAGTAACTATGCCCCCCTTGAAAGATGAAATGGAGGCTCATGGTAATTCGGAATCAGTGCTTTTATCTGCTATATTCCAAATGGTGAGCTCTCTGGAAGCAGATATTATGTCTGTCTGGTTCTTTCTAGGTATGAAAATGTAATAATAAGTATTACTGAATTCTTGATGATTATGACCAATTTTTATCTTAGCATGGTTTAGTGTCTTCCCTATTGTGGGCCCTAGGTTCATTGGGGGAAAAAGTGGTAAGAAAATGCAACAGGATCAGCATCTGAAAGATGATGCTAGTTAAATTAAAGAAATTAAATTAAATTAATTACCAGATATCTTTTATAAATAAGACATATGAACAGCAGGATCCTTCTTAATTGTCAAAGGAGAAAGTCCTTGCTGAGGTAGAAATGTGTACTGCTGATGTTCAGGGAAGTTTTTTATTTTATAAACAAAATCCAGTGTAAAAAGGGCCATGTTGTTTTCAGTTAATTTACGAACCAGTCGTTTATGAACGCCCACACCCTGATTTTTAGTTTAATTTAGATTTTCTTCCATTATTTTAGAATTTTGAATAGTATATGGTGTCTTGTACCACGAAGTGACTCATGTTTTTTGTTTTAAAAATTATATTTTGGCTTATTCTTAAAAAATTAAAGAGTTAGACACTTTGTTATTAAGTAAATGTGTTTTGTAAACTCTTCATGCAAAATGTTTTGAAATGTGTTCAGTTTAAATACATTATTGGTCCATAATTAATAATCTTATGAAAATACATTTTGTTACACTATCAATTGTATTGTCTAATCTTAATTTTTTATAAGAGCTTTTAGCATATAACAAATATAATAAAGCAAAACGCAAATATTAAGAGCCACAAGTCGTAGAAATGTGTATATACATCCAAATGCCAGTCTGTTTCACAGAAGAAAAAAGTTTAAAAGAAATGCAAGTTGAGTAATTGACTACATTGGTAGGTTCCAAACCTGGGTGTTATCAGAATTACCTAGGGAATTAGAAACACAGATTTCTAGAAATAAGCTCTCAAATTCTGACTCACTGTCTAGAATGATGTATAAACACCTCTGTACAAAGCAGTCCTGGTAACTTCTGCTGTGCAGGTAGTTTGAAGATTAATGAGAAAGCCAGTATTTTTACTTTGTATATGAATAGAAGGTCAAAGGTACCCAAGCAACTAGAATGTATTCTAGCATCTTAAACAACATACTTCCATTGTTTAGTTCTTTAGTTGCTTATCTAAGTACAAAGATACTGGCTGACAGTCTCCCTCCTTTGTAAAGCTTTCTTTAATGTTCTTCAGGTCAGTAGTTTTTGTTGTTTATTTTCTTTAGGTCTTTTACCATAGGTGTGGGTGCTGGCCAAAGAGAGACCTTGAGAAGGAAAGTGAGAAATCACCACCCAGGGGGAATGGCACCATCACACACAAATCCTTTCTCCATTCTCTTCTCAGGATTTTGGGCACACTCGCACACACATGTGCCTGTCATGATTTTCAAGTGCTGGCCAGGTCTACGACTTGAACCAGTTGGCCGTGTGAGAATTCACATTAACCATCATGCCACCTGCTGGCCTGTTTTTATACATATATATAAAACAAACTATTTGTTCTTCCAAGATAATATTGCCAACAGTCACAGATTCATAAATGCACTTACGTATTGACTGTTTACAAATACAGTAGTATTTTTTCTCTGAAAAAATGTAGGTACAGAAACTAAACCAATGAGGTACTGCCATTTGAGATTCATTATATGTCATCATAGCTTAAAGAATTAGTCTTCAGCAAATATTGAACAAATAAATTTGGAGAAATTAGTCAATTAAATTATCTTAATTTATCAAAAAGTCCACTGAGTTTCATCTCAAAATGTATTGTGTAATCTTATTTTAAAAATCACCTAAAAGTGAATAGAAAAAGCAAGCAGTTTTTTTAAAATGGGGGATAAAAAGGAAAGAAAGGAACATTAATTGAGCCCGTAAATTGGGTTAAGTTATTCAAAATATCTTTTAAATAATATAAAACTCTTCCCAACAGAAAGCTGAAGGAAAGGGGAAAAAAATCATTTCTCCATAGATATAATTTATTTTAAAGGGAGTATGCAATGTGTGGATCAATGTCAGATTTTTTTCTTGGTGTTTTGGCTACACGCAGGCCCCTGACTGATAGCTTTATTCTTTTTTTTTTTTTTTTTTTTTTTTTGGGGGGTTTTTCTTGTTGGGGCGGTGCA